GTTGTGTGATCATCCCCACTAAGGGGGTGATTTCTCTCTTTCTGTCTCTGTCTCTCTGTCTCTCAAGCAAGTGCTTGCACCTCATAGCAAAAATCTCTCAAAAAAGTTGGCATGATGTTAAATGTTCATCATAAATAGTATTTTCCTCTCTACGTTAATCTCTCAGAACTAGAAGTAAAAAGGGGTTTAGCAGCAAGACTCAAGTCCTTCCAGTTCCTAATTCAATAAAAGCTAAGCCTAGAATTGTGGTATCACCCCCCATGTCTGACTTAGAAGAGGCATCAACAGACCTTTTCTGGAAAAGGTCACATAGTCAATATTTTCAGTTTTGTGAGTCATCGGGTCTCTCATTACTACTTAACACCACAATTACTGTAGGAAAGCAGCCATAGACAATGAGTAAATGAATCAGAGCTGTTGTGTTCCAAGAAACCTTTATTTGTGGATACTGAAATTAGAATTTAATATATTTTTAATGGGTCACAAAATAATATTCTTTCTTTAATTCTTATAAATAATTTTAAAAATACTTTTGAAAACCCTCATTCTTAGCCCATGAGTCATATAAATGCAAGTAGTAGGCGAGATTTGGGCCAGGATCAGTTTGTTAATATTTACTCCATAGTATCAAGTGTGCCTTCGCAGGGGTAGTGAGGATTGGGGTACGGGTTTGTTCTTAAGTCCAAGGGACCATACAAGTCTATGACATTAAAGTCTATAATCTCATGTGGCGATTTCCAAGAGGAGTCTTTAGCGTATATGACTTTCAGGCTAGCACTTGCCAATGTACATTGCTTAGTGGGATAGTAGTGAACCAGTACAACTCAGTCTATCTGCTGAGTTCCTACTGAACTCAGACAGATTCATGTTTAAGGCACTAAGGCACAGGCTTAGAAAACAACTCTAGACAAAGACATTACTATCCCCATCATCATCATCACATAGCTTTCATCATTTTTTTCAGATTATTATTATTATTCTCAGTATTGTTTTAAACATTCAATCACTATCATTTTGCTTGTAAAAAGACTTTACCCAACATAAATACTTCTCAGACCAGTCCAGTTAAGAATACTGTACATGTTATCATCCACAGGTAATAAACCATTTCTGTGATCCACTAATGTCATGCCCCTCTATTTATTCTCTTGCTATCCTTCTCCACACTCTTTAATTCTCCCTCTTCTCCCTCCCCATTCCACACCGTCTTCAGCATCGCTAGCTATTTTCACTGCTTATAGAGATCCAATATTTTAATCTCCAACATAAAGAGCAGATTGTCGGTAAGTATTAAGTGGATACATACAATATCTTCCTATCATATCCTGCCTTGCTTCACTGAGTAATATATCCTCCATATCTGACCACTTTCTATCAAATGCCAGGGTCTTGTTTTTACAGTCTTGACTGGTATGCATGGTATTCCTTATTGAAAAAGAAATGTAATACACTGCAAAGTTGTATGTGATTCAATGAAATATGAACAAGATTATGATAATAATAAACTTTTTAAAAAAGAAAACAACTATAGCCCAGTAGCCACTGACATCTTATCTGTTGTGCATGTTCGGCATTTTACATGAGCCTCAGTTTACTCCTAGGCAGCCCTGACCTCATCTCATATTACATGACCCACCTGTGGTTTCTTGACTACCCAGAAGGTTGAGGACATTAATTTATCACTATTATCATCTATACTAGTCCCTACTTAAATAACTTTGTGGTTTGTTGATGAAAATTATTAGAATTGTTAGAGAGCATAGGAAAGCAATGATTTTGGGAAATCTTTATCCATCAGTGTCTCATATGATAATGATCTTTTGGTTTCCTAAGTGTCTCATAAGAGAATAGGTCTTGGACACAGGAATGTTTGAATCAAATATTACATCTACTGTTTATTTGTTTTGTGACCATAGACTAATACTTACCTTTAAATTGTTCCCTCAACAGGAAAGTAGTTTAGTAGTGTTCTATTACATGTAACAACATAAATGACTACCTGTGCCTGTTTCTAAACATTTCTATTCTGGTGTTACAAATTATGGCAAATGTAGTCACTCAAAATGATACATATTTATCAACTTGTAATTTTTGTAGGCCAGAAATTGGGCATGGCTTATTTGGGTTCTCTACTTTAGAATGTCACCACACTGCAGTCAAATGACTGCTTGAGCTGTGACCTCATCAGGTGATGACCTCATCAAGCAATGACTCAGGACAGGTACACTTCCAAACTCCAGCTGTCTGTTGACTTGTGGCTGCAGAACCAAAGTTTTCTGGGTTTTACGTAGAAGCTACTCGCAAGTTCCACAACTGACCTAGAGTTCCTTGGTATGTGGGTTTTTCCAATATGACGACTCAGCTCATGAGAGCTAACTTCTTTGAAGCCAACATCTAAGCATTTCTGCTATCAGAAAGATCTACCATATGATCCAGCAATCCCACTCCTTGGTATCTACCCAAAGGACAGTAGAATTCTTCAGTGGAAAAGTGCTTGCGCATTGATGTTTATTGTGGCACTATTCACGATTGCTAAGTCATGGAACCAACCCAAATGTCCCTGCATGGAGGAATGGATTGAAAAACTGTGGCACATATACTCTATGGAATACTACTCAGCCATAAAAACCAATAAGACCCTGACTTTTGACAGAAAGTGGAAGAATATGGAAGATTTACTGCTGAGTGAGGCAAGCCAGGCTATGAAGGAGAGACATTGTATGTCCCCACTTAACATATACTGAATGTCTGCACTCTATGACTGAAACTGATTGACTAATGGTTGTACAAACACAAGAGATGGGTGTGAATGTAAGATGAGGCGTGTGTGGAGGAGTGGGGCCTAACGAAGGACATTTAGAGAAGGGATACAGAGTTAGTGCATTGACAGGATGGAGAGGTATGGTGCTATTGGTTGAAGATATTTTGATCAATGGGACTGGGGAGAAAGTTCACATATTGAAATGCTCACATTGTAAGCTAAACAATGAGATTGAATGTATATATAAAAATAAATAAATTAATTAAAAAAAAAGACTCTTGGTACTAGCAGTTAGCATAATGGCTATGTCACTGGACTCCCATGTAGTCGACCATGGCTTGCATCCCAGACCCGGTTGCTTAAAACTCACGCCAGGTGCGTGTGCGCGTGTGCCTAAGATCCAGAGAGGAGAATGGAGGAGAAAGGATTACGGCGTGGCCATCCCCCCAGGGGGGGTGATTTCTCGCTTTCTATCTCTGTGTCACTCTGGTGAGCGCACATGCCCTATAGCAAAAGCCTCTCAAAAAAAAAAAAGAAAGTCAGTACCTTTTGTAGGGCTTTTGCTGTTTCATGTGCTTTAAACTTTTGTGTACAGACGACATCTTTCTTTCTTTCTTTTTTTTTTTTTTGAGAGGTTTTTGCTATAGGGTGTGTGCACTCCTCAGAAAGATGGAGAGACAGAAAGTGAGAAATCACCCCCTAGTTGGGATGGCAATGCTACAATCCCTTCTCCTCCAATTCTCCTTTCAGGATCTTGGGGGCACACACACACACACACACACACCCGGTATGAGTTTCAAGCCACCAGGTCCAGGACTTGAACAGAGGTCGACTGCATGAAAGTCCAGCAACATAGCCATTATGCCAACTGCTGGTCCCCAGAATACATCTATATCCTATTAAAAATACTTGTGTCCTCCTGTCGTATATTCTAATTCACTAAGTCTAAAATAAGAGCTAGCAATGTGCACTTTAAGCAAGTCTTTTAGGTTTTCTGGTGCAAGCTGTACAAGAAGCATTTTTAAAAACAAAATCTAGAAGTCCAGCAAGCAGCATATTGGTTAAGGTGTTGGACTCCCAGATGGCTCACTGTGATTCAAGTCCCAGACTCAGTGACTTGAAAATAATGCTAGGTGTGTGTGTGTGCCCAAAATCCCAAGAGAAGAATAGAGAGGGGATTGTGGTATGACCATATCCCCTGAGGGATGATTTCTGATCTTTCCTTCTCATTGTCTCTCTCTGGTGAGCATATGCATCCTATGACAAAAACCTTTAAAAATATCTGTAAGGTAAAATAAGATGACCTGACTGTATCTATGAGTTTGGTTATTTCTGTTATCAATAAGAATGTGTGATGGTCAATTTGTGTCCATAACTATTTTTTAAATAAATTCAATATAGAAGATACAGTAATATGTAACTCATGTTAATAACATTTATTCATAAAGCAGTCAATGTCAATCCATGAAAAAAATGTCGGTTATACAGTCTATGTAAAAAGCCATCCCATAACACAAATGAGAAAAGAGGTGAAAGAATGCTGAATAAAAGAAAACTGGGATGCATTCAATAGAATGTAATTGAAAATGTACTTCCTGTGCTCTGTAAACTATTAATAAATTGTCTACAGTCTTACTATGAAAGAGCTTAATATTTAATCAAAGAAAATTGGAGTGTATTTAAAACCACTAATAAGAAACCAAGCAAAAAATTGAGTAGTAAGTAAATTATTAGCACTAAATTAAAGATACATAAACATGTTAACTAAATCTAGGACTATGTTCTGCATTTGACTATTCAGAGACATATTCAGTCATTATTATATGACCTATGATTTGAATGGTATAACTGGCCAGATGATCCAGAGACAATACATAATTAGGTAAGGAGTGTGATATATTGTAAAGAAGATGAACTTTGAACTTTGAAAAGATAAAAATGTGATTTAAAATTGAACTCTGTCCCTTGACACTTATGTGATAAAATATTAAACATCTTCTTCAGAATATCTGTATGTCTGGGACCAGCAGTTGGCGTAATGGTTATGTTGCTGGACTTCCATGTAGTGGACCACGATTTGAGTCTCGGACCCAGTGGCATAAACTCAGGCATGGGGCATGTGCGTGTGTATCCAAGATCCCATGAGGAAAATGGACGAGAAGGGATTGCGGTGTAGCCATCCTTCCTGGGGGCGTGATTTCTCGCTTTGTCTCTGTTTCTCTCTTTCAGGCAAGCACACACGCCCTGTAGTAAAAACTTCTCCAAAGGAAAAAAAAAGAATATTTGTATGTCAAATCATGGTAATATGTACGGTGGCTTTTGTGAGAAACAGGTAAGTGTGCATTGAAGCCTAACATTCATAAAAAGTATGCAATAGATATTGGCTTCTTTACCCATTTTTCTCGTGTTTGAGTGTTCCTTAAAGGGAAAAAAGAAGTCAAGAAGTCTTGCAAGTCTTTCAGATGACTTTATTATGTAAAATGGAAATTTCCTGGACTTGATACTATTTCTTTCCATTATTTGGTTATCTTATAAAATACAGACATTTTGGGGCCAGTGGATGACACAGTGGTTAAGGCTAGACCTTTTGGGGACAGTGTGATGACACAGTGTTTAAGGCACTGGACTCCCACATGGCTGACCGCCATTGGAGTCTCAGGCCCAATGTCTTGAAACATACCAGGCATGTGCATATGCCTACACAAAGTCTTGAGAGGAGAATGGAGAAGAAGGGTTTACAGCATGGTCATTCCCCTGGCAGGGTGATTTCTCACTTTCTGTCTCTCTATCTTTCTGGCGAGATCCTGCGCCCTATAGCAAACATCTTTAAAAAAAAAAATGCAGACCTCTCTCATGGATATTTGTATTTGTGTGTGTGAGCAATGTGACCCAGAGATCTGACATGACAATCCCTTCTAATACAGAACTTCTGAGAGTCTAGGATGGTAAAGATCAGTCTATCGTATTATTAGAGCCTGAATCAGTGAGTGAGCATAGGGACAGCAGAGATGTTTTTAATCTGGTTAGGACTATGCATACTACGGACAGATTAGACCCTATTTCTGCAGTATTTATGCTTCACAGTTGTCCCAATTGAATTTTTCTAAGAAATTCAGTTTTTTCTTAACCCTTAATGATTATTTTTCTTTTGAACAAGAGAAAATGCAAGTCAGAGTCACTTTACTCATCAGTGTGTCTAAATTTGCCCAACTCAAATTTTGAGGCACTACTTCTTGGGTAGTTGTTGTGTCCCAAAAATGCTTGGAATACATTTATATCATATATCTGGAATTCTCTGAAATGGCAGTCATATATCCTGTGGTACTTATATAGTTTCCTCATCTCATTTTCTGTATCCTTTTATTCACTGTGAGTTTCTGACTTGACCCCTATCCTCTAAACAACCTATCATGTCTTTTAGCCACTCTTTTCCTTTTTATTTATTTATTTATTTATTTATTTATAGTTTTGTGCATCACTTAGCTTGAAGAGTGAATTTACCCAATATGAATAAACTTCATGCCAGTACTCAGCAGAAAATCCTCCATATTCATCCACTTTCTATCAAATGCCAGGATCTTGTTTGTTTGTTTGTTTAAGACTGAGTAGTAGTCCATAGAATATATATGCCACACTTTTTCAATCCATTCACTTTTTTTTTTTTTTTGGAGAGATTTTCACTGTAGGGCGCGTGCGCTCGCCAGACAGACAGAGAGAGACATAGAGACAGAAAGCGAGAAATAACCCCCCAGGGGGGATGGTCACGCCACAATCCCTTCTCCTCCATTCTCCTCTCGGGATCTTGGGCACGCACGCACACACGCCCGGCGTGAGTTTTAAGCCACTGGGTCCGGGACACGAACCGCGGTCAACTACGTGGGAGTCCAGCGACATAGCCATTACACTAACTGCTGGCTCCCAATCCATTCACTTTTTAATGGATATTTGGGTTGGTTCCATGTCTTAGCAATTGTGAATAATGCTGTAATAAACACAGATGTGCAAGTGCTTTTCTGACTGAGGATTCTCATATCCTTTGGGTAGATTCCCAGGAGTAGAATTTTTGGATCATACGGTAGTTCTATTTGTAGATCTTTGAGGAACCTCCATATTGCTCTCCACAGTGACTGGATCAATTTACATTCTCACCAGTGTAGGAGAGCTCCCCTTTCACCACAGCCTCAGAAGCACTTGTTTTTTTGTGTGAGTTTAAGCCACCAGGTCCAGGACTCAAACTGTGGTCAACTACATGGGAGTCCAGCGACATAGCCATTACGCCAACTGAATGTTGATTTTGTACCCAACCATTTTTACTATTTTAATATATTACTTTTAGAAGTTTTTTTGTAGATACCTTTGGGTCTTCTAAGTAAACAATCACATCATCTGCATATAGAAATAATTTTGTATCTTTATTTCTCTATTCGAATGCCCCTTATTTTATTCTCTTTTCTGATTGCATTGGCTAGGACTTTAAGCACTACCTTGAAAAGGAGTAGAAAGAACAGGCAGCCTTGTTTTGTACTGATTTTGAGTGGAAAAGCTTTGAGCTTTTCCCCATTTAGTATAATGTTATCTATAAGTTTTTGATAGATGGTTTTTATGGTGTTGATAAATGACTCTTCTATGATGATTTTGCTGAAAGTCTTAATCATGAAGGAATATTGTATTTTGTCAATTTTTTTCTGCATTGGTTGAAATGATCATATGGTTTTTATCTTTATTTCTGTTAATAAGATGTGTTACATTTATGGTTTTGCATATATTGAACCACCCTTGCATTCCTAGAATAAAGCCTATCTGATCATGGTGAATACTCTATTTTATATGTTTTTGGTAACTATTGGCTAGTATCATTTTGAGAATGTTTTATCTATATTCATCAGAAATATTGGTCTATAGTTTTCCTTTCTAGTAGACCCCTTATCTGTTTTGGGTATGAGGAAATAGAGGTTTCATAAAATTAATTTGTGAGGAAGACCAGCAGTTAACATAATGGCTATGTGGCTGAACTCCCATGTAGTCAACTGTGGTTCAAGTCCTGGACCCTGAGGTTTAAACTCACACTAGGCACGTGTGCATGTGTGCCCAAGATCCCAAGAGAAGAATGGAGGAGAAGGGATTGCGACGTGGTCATCCCCCCGGGGTGTGATTTCTCGCTTTCTGTCTGTCTCTCTGGCAAGCACAGGCACCCTATAGCAAAAGCCTTCCCCCAAAAAAGAAAAACAATAATTCCTGAGGGTTCCATCCTCTTGGATCTTTAGAGATAATTTGAGTAGAATGGGAGTAAACTCTTCTTTAGAAGTTTTGTAGATTTCAGAAGTGAACCCATCAGGACTTGGGCTTTTCTTTCTTGGGAAGGTTATTACTGATTCAATCTTATTGCTTCTTATGGGTCTAGTCAGACTTTCTATGTCCTCCTGGTTCAATCTAGATAGATTATATGCATCCAGGAATTTGGCCATCTTATCCAGGTTTTCTTGCTTGTTGGAGTATAGTTGCTCATAGTATTCTCTCATGATGTTTTGTATTTCTATCGTGTCTGTTGTAATGTTGCCTGTTTCAATATGAGTTTGATTTGTCTGGTTCCTTTCTTTCTTCTTATTAATTAGCCTAGCTAATGGTTTGTCAATCTTGTCTATATTTCCAAAGAACCAGCTTTGGTTTCATCTATTTTCTTTCTAATCCCTGCCATCAGACTTCAATGTTAGCCATGTTCCCACTTAGACTTTCATGGATTCTACTCCTTTCTTCTGAGGTAGAACATCTGAACCTGATTTGAAACATTTGCAGAGGGTACTTCACTCAACCAAGACTTATTCCCAGGAAAATAATTCTGTCTTGTATCTTTCTTTTGAATTCTTTTACCCATATGAACCTCCTTAATTGTGTCTAATTTTTAGGGGTCTATGACATTCTCTTTTTAGCTTTTCTAGAAGACTTGAGGTATTTTATACTGATGTGTCCAAAACTATTCGGAAAAGCAAAAATATTATACCAGATAAGGGGCTTTAACTTTATTTGTATGCTTTCTCAATAGGAAAAACATATCTACAAACAGAATATAACCAAAAAAGTAAGAATTGATTAAACTGTGACCAAAAAAGTAAGAATTGATTAAACCGTGAAGCAAAACAAGACTTAGTGTATATATTCATGTATTTTTACTCTTCCAATAATTACACAATATTTTACCCTCCTAAATAGAAACTTATCTAAAATTTAATGTATTGCTAGGAGAAATATATATGCAAGACATCTACTATGATCACATTAAAATACAAAGTTTAAAATCACTGAAATGTTTTATAAGCCAGTATACAAAATATGTGCGGTTCCTTGTAATACAACATCTTGCCTTTATTCATCTACTTCCATCTGGTGACAATGTACATTTCTCTTTACCATTTTTATTTTACTCATCCTGAATATGTCATTATTTGTGAAGAAAAACAATGACACTTCATAATATATATATTTTGTATATTTTTTAAATTTAAATATTAATATTGACATATTTTGCAAGCTACATTTAATAACTGGAAGCCTAGGAGTTATGACAAATAACTCTCTCAGAAGTAAAGAATAACCATGCTCCATATGTTTTCCTGTTCCAACTAGCACCATGATCCTGAGTAAATTTTCACATTATAAGGTATATTTGATTTATTTTTTGGTGGGGGGAGAGATTTTTGCTATAGGGAACATGCACTCTCCAGCGAGCCAGAGACAGACAGAGAGATAGAAAGCAAGAAACACCTTCCATGGGAATGGCCATACCTCAATCCCTTTTCTTCCATTCAACTCTTAGGATGTGGGGTACACATGGATAGGCACCTGGAATCAGTTTCTAGCCTCCAGGTCTGGCACTCAAACTATAGTTGGCTATATGAGAGTCTAGTGACAAAATCATTATGCCATCTGCTGGTCCCATATATTTGATTTAAAAAAATACAAAAAAAAAAACTGGCTCTCTGTCCCATATATTTGCTTTAAAAAAATACAAAAAAAAAAACTGGCTCTATGAAGGCAAATATTAAAAGTTATTTCTTTTTCTTTTTTTTTTTTTTGAGAGCTTTTTTGCTGTAGAGCATGTGTGCTCACCAGAAAGACAGAGAGACAGAGATATGGAAAGCGAGAAATCACCCGCCACAATCCCTTCCCCTCCATTCTCCCATTCTCCTCTTGGGATCTTGGGCATGCATGCACATGTGCCCAGTGTGAGCTTAAGCCACTGGGTCTGGAACCTGAACCATGGTCAAATACATGGGAGTCCAGTGACATAGCCATTATACTAACTGCTAGTCCCAAAATGTTATTTCTTGAAGTGAG